TTACTGTTTTATCTAGAGAGATGGTGGCTACTAGGATATTTTGCTGGTCGTTTTTTTTTTTTTTTGTTGTTGTTTTTTTGTTTTCTTTTTGTGTTTGTTTTTGTATTCATCAGTGATGTTTGCATATCTGATGCGTGGGACATTTCGGGACTCAAGCGGAAGTTGCTTTCTAGTTAATCCTGTGATCCAGGTCTGAACTGAGCTGCTCTCCTCCAAAGCTGCACAACAAGAAGCAAAGTCCATAATGTGATTAAGAGGATAATGGCGTTCAGCGGTTAAGCAGCCAACATCCAAACTAAACTGACATAAACAAGAAGCACGTGCTCGGCTTTTGTTGTCACAGTCGGCTCTTGTGTCATTTTAGTATCAGACTCGGGTTTTCTTGCTTCCAGCTTTGGGTGAGACGCGTTCAACTATAGTAATAACATATTTAACCCTTTCATGTATGCTGCCAGCGCTGGCTTTGTACCCATCTTTATTCCTGTGTTGCATGGTGTCCACATGTGTGGGCAGTGAGATTTTATTTTTTAAAAAAAGAGGAAAATATTTTAGCACAATTCCCATAATTTGTGCATGAAAGGGTTAAATCGAGGTCATAGGTTTACATAGTTGGGGAATTCTCATGGGGTGGATTTTGATTTGGATTGTGATGGAATGTTTTATTGTATGAAAATTTATCTTCAGGAAAATAAAAATACTAAGCACTATAGTCTGCTGTTATTTCTTCTCCTCTTACATCGTGACATTCACTGTGACGGATGGGGAAAAAGTAATAGAAGCTGGGAGAGTTGAAAAGGACATTAGTGTTTATTTCAGCTTAAACATTTCTCCAGAATTCACCTTCAGTTTAGTTCTCAGTTAAATAAGTGGCCAAAAAGTTTGGCCGTTGCCCAGTTTCCTTTCTGGTTTCCTCCATTAGACGCTGGCCACCACACTAAACCTTTTCCCTTCTAGACGTCCAGTGGGACTGACCACGTAAAGTGGCACCTTCATCATTTTGCAAATCACTTAAAAGAAATCTTCTTAAAAGAAATGTTAAGAAAATCAGTTGTTATTGCACTTTTTTTTTTATTGCACTCAAGATACAAGAACAGTCTTCTATGATCCAATACAATCTCTATAGCAGTAAATTTGTAGCCTAAAATATCTTCTATTTCCAACATCACAGCAGAATAACCAGAACATTGTTTTTAATTTTTTTTTATTTTGCTTTTTTGTGGTGAAACCACAACAAGTACTGCAGCAAGTCGAGCTGTTCTGACGCTGCTTATTATGAGGTGTGTATCAGGAGCTTACAGCGGAGTGAAAAAAGACTCTGGTGTCACACACTGCTTTAAGTAAACTGCTGGCAAAACAACAAATTTTGATGGATGAAGGATGGAGATGATAGGAAAAAGTTGAATGCAATCATTACCTGATATTCTGTGCTCATATTGGCAATCAAACTTTAAGTATAGTGATACTCAGACTGTGGGGTTGGCCACTTTATGAGGCAAATTTTCACCCAACATTTTATCTCTGTTTGCCTGTAGTGGCTCTAAGATGAAGGCTTACCTATACCCTTTTCTATCTTAATAATAATAATAATAATGGATTAAGATATTGAGTTTGGAAAACATTACAAACAACAAATCATTGCCCTTATAAATATCACCTGTTTCTGAGTTTTAGTTACATATTTGTCCCTCCTGTGTGAAAAGAACAAAGATCTTCATCATGGCTCTTCACACACTAACTTTGAAAGTTTGAACTGCACAAAAATTCTAACGTTAATGTCGGCCAGTGACGTATTATTTACTGATATGCCAACAAAAGTGAACAACGCCAGTGTTGGCCAATGAATATGCAATAGCAGCTTAATATGTCAGCAATTATTATGATGATTCATTTCTATTTTTTAAAAAAAACAACACAAAGTTTCAGCATTGAGTAAACGTTTCCCTTTCATTGTGAGTGCTGCACAAAAACAGACCTCTGAACCTCGACTGCACTCCACCATCTTTGGAACCTGCTCATTAATTTGACAAAATATCAAAGCAAATCGATCTAAAACCGGACTTTGATAACATGCAAGACTGTTGCTGTGATCTGAAATATACAGTTAAGCCCATAAACATTTGGATAATTGACACTTTTTGTAATTTCACCTCTGATGTAAAATCCACTGTGGTGCTGTGAAAACGGTCTAGATGTGATTAAAACGCAGATTTTAGGCTTTGATTCAACAGGGTTTTCAACAGTTGTGTTTATAAATATTAAAAGGATTTGGACAGCAACATTTTAAATAGAAAGTTTGTTTTTAATACTTGGATGAAAACCCTTTGCAATCAATGGCTGGCTGAAGTCTACAGACGTGGTCGCGTACAGAGGCATAATTACAAAAACAATGTCATCATCCAAAATCATGCACACCTAACTAGTTAAAAGTCAAAGTAAAAAGTCTAATAGTCAATTAAAGTTAATTAAAAATAAGCTTCATTTGCCTCCACTGCAGACAACCAACTAAACAACTTGGCAGAGATAAAAGAAATTCACTGTTTTCTGCTCACAAATTTCAAAATTCTCACTGAATTTAAACCTGTAAATAGGAGCGTCGTCTTCTTTGCTCTCTTACGTGAAGTCCAGCCGTGTCAGTGAATCAGCCACGAAACAAAAGATTACCACCTTAGAAAGGTCACTGAACGCACCGGCAGAGCGCGCATTCGTTTCCATTACAATAACTCATAATTAACTTTACATCATGTATTTAAAAAATATATTTAAAAACACCACAAAACTAGTCTCTGTAGGACATTCATTATTGTAAAACTATGTAAATTATTTAACATTTAAAAACAGTAAAAAGTATTGTCCAATAGACAAAGATAATAATTGTACAGCCATTTGAAGGAAGAAAAAAAATCACCTGGATCCCTTTGCTGGAACATTTAAGATTTGAATTCACACAACAAGCTGAAAGAGGACAGTTTGTTCATCAGAAACCAACAATTACACGGTGTATCTGAGTATATATTGTTTAACACAAAGCGATTTTTGACACAATAAATACACAGCAGACGCGTCTCTGCGTGTGCGCGCTGTTTTGTGTCTATCCTGATCGGCTGCTTTGCTGCACAATGTTCCACCAAAGTGACACGATCGCATAAAACGTACAAGAAATACAAACATCGATAGTCGTACCTAAACGTGACGTTTCACTAGTAACCTGCACATAAAGTCATTAAAATCTGTGACACTGATATTTTTATATATATATTAGATTTCATAGTAATAAGACCTCAAAACGAAAAAAAAAAACCCCAAAACAAAACGTAGTACTACTGCTACTCTTTTTACTTACAGTAAGCTGCAGCAACACGTGCTTAGAATCAGGCAAAATTTTCAAAATATTGTGAAACTGTGCATTTCATTTCGGCTGTACTAAAAACAGTCTGACGCATGTATGGTTTCCTGTGGTGCAGGACTAAAAAGTACCCACTTTCTCGTCTGACGTGCTCTGCTGTAACTCAGTGCCAGCTGCTACATTTGAATGCATGTAAATATTTTCACACAAACGTCAGCTACATTCAGAAAATACGAGGCTATTCGAAAATCTCTATTCGTAATCTCTTCGCAGCACGGACAAAATGACTTGAAATGACCAGCTTAAATTGTGCCAATATGATGCGAAACTCCTGTGATGTGATTGAAAAGTTATTTCTTGTTGGTAAGATTCAAAACTGCAGTGGTTTCCCTCTTTTTTATTTGCCTGCTTATGTTTGGACGCCTTCTCTACTTTTAACATTAGGCCTAAAAATGGCCTTTTTTGATAAAGCATATAGGATCACATGACCCTGAAGCCTCCCTTAGTTATGATTCAATACACCTAGACTGCTGGGGGGGCTTCCCATGATGCACCGAGTCTTTAATCCCGACTCACCTTTTTTCATTCTCTATGTGCTTACACACCACTCGGCATTTAATCAGTAGTTATTAATCTCTGCATCTCTTCCAGGGTGACTTTATTGTTCTGTGTCCCTCCCCCTTACCCCCTCACTGGTCAGATGGCCGCCCCTCCCTGAACCAGGTTCTGCTGGAAGTTCCTCCCTAATAAAAGGGAGTTTTTCCTTCCCACTATCGCCATGGCCTTGCTCATATGAGGGGGGTCACCTGATTATTGAGGTTTTCTCCCTATTATTGTGGGGAAAGAAACATATCTTATTCCGTATGATAAAGACATTTTTCTGTACTGTATGCAGAGTAGGATTTTTACTGTTGATGCATTATTTTTGCCCTCCATCCAAGCTGTGTAAACCTTTCTCAGCCGCTTTGATTTTTGTAGTCAGAAATAAAATAAAAATACTGAATTCCTGCGTGAAAATATGTGGATTCAGTATCAGACACAGGTCAGTAAAACGAACCCTCCCAGAAACCATTTGTCCTTGTTGCAATGGTGAAGTCAGCTAGGTAGTGATGTTGTCATGCATTAGCTTGGCTGAATTACCACTGAAAATCTAAATAAATGAAAAGGGTAGAACATGTAAATTTGCTGTATTACTATTGCTCTAAAATGAATGGAGAACAGTGCGATCTGAAATCTATCCAGTAGAAATGGGAAAGATTTGCAGATTTTTCTGCTCTTAGGGTTGCTAACATGTATCGCCAAATAAATCTTGGTTGGTGCTGGACTGGATCAGCTGGGGGGAGGTGATTGGTTGTTGGCCCTTTCAATGTGCCTGCAGGAGTCTCATTAAGAGTAGAGTTTTTGAAGAGATGCCCTCAGAGTGCGCCAACCAAAACTCCAGATCAATGGCAGTTTGTCAGCATTTCCACATTGACAAGTTGAACTTATACACCTCTATATTTCAGAGAAAAGTATTTACGTCTCTGCGTTTTCTTGACCGATTTAGTTCTGAGTTTATTTTCAGACTAAATACAGACATAAAAAACTGTACTAAGAGCTTAAGAGATTAATACTTTGCTATAAGTTATATTGGAGTTTATGGTTGTTTTTTTTTAAATTTTATTTCAAATTAGAGATGAACGGATATTTCATGACTCCGAGTCCTGGACTATAATCCAGGATTAAGGGCTTGAGTTTTTAGTTTTACAACGATAACTATCTTTGTAAAAGATAGTTACAAAGTTACACTTTGTAAAGAAGTTACACTTCTTAGCAGGAGTAACTTGTACAAATCTAAACCTTTTCATTGTTCTATAATTATTAATATAGCTATAGCTAACTTTTGTACTTAGTCCTTATGTAAAATTAGCAAGTCAGCAAAGCCTACTAACTGGACTGAATTATTTTCATACACTGCTTGAGAAAATAAAATGAGTGAACACTTAATCGCCCCAGTATGACACAGAGTCATAAACATAAACCACCGTGAATCTGCATTGGTGCAAATGAAAGTGACAAGTGCAGTGGAGATGAATGGCTACCCCCCATGACGGCTTTTTTAGATTTCGCTTTTCTGCTAGACTCCTTGTTAGTAGTGTTAGCATGTGATGGTACCTGAAGCCCATTCAGGCTATACATGGGGCTGGTCTGTGAGAACAGGTCCCACTAAAGGAGACCAGGGCCACCTGTTTCAGACAGCTTGGTCAGAAACATGCAAGAGTAACCCATTGGAGGTCATTTGCAGCGCTCTAGAAGTACTCTTCTTCCTCATTGTATACAGGAGAAGACAGCAGTCTTGCAGCAGGATTGATGAGTTTTGTAGTGCTCTCTCTCTCTCATGTAACAGCCTACTTCCTTCCTTACAAAAGCATCAAACGATGTGTCATCCTGCTGAAGCTGGACAACCCGTAAACCTTGAGTGCAACTGCAACTACTGTGACAAGGAAGTTGGCAAAAGGCGAATCCAGATAAAAAATCAGTCAGGAGAGAGTCAGGAGAGAGAGCTGCTCTTTGGGGGTCATCATCTTGTTGTCACTTTCATTTGCTCCAAAGCAGGTGAAATGTATTCGCAGTGATTCCTAACTGGACAGAGCAACAGACCAGAAGTTTAAATGACTTTGTGTTACACTGAGATGAGCCAGTGTTGTTCTCAGACATGTAACAATGACTAGTTTGCAACTGAAGGACTTAAACTGTCTTAAACCCCAGAGGAACTTTCTTTTAGGCAACCAGCACCTTAAAGTAACGCAGAGTAATAGTAGACTCTTTCTACCTTCATGATCGAGCAGTGATTGAGTATCTTGCATTTAGCTATAAATGGCTTACACTCATGTAGCATTTTATGTTTTAATGAGCAAGGTTGTCTTTCTGTCACACGTACACTTCTTTAAATCTGACCTTATCTGATTTGATTGTTTTTTTTCTTTTAATATTCTTTTAATATTACAGTTTTGTAAATCATGTGGCAACAGTGTCAATACTCTTGTCCATGTTTACGACTGGTCATCTGCAAACACAGTCCCTCTCACATGAACTCAGTCATTGCTAATTTTAAAAAAAACAAACCCTGGGTTGACTTTTCTGAGTTAACCTTGTCAGATTTATTGGGTTTTCTGATGTTAGGATAACTGAAGCCAGATAAGAAAACATCCCTTTTAAGGTGGACTTGCTTCAGAACCCAGGCCTTTGGTGCACCTCATCTCCAAACCAATTTAAAATGTTTTTTAAAGCAATTTAGCAAATTAGTCCACAGCTGACAAATTTAGCTGCCACGTGACCTAATCATGAGCTTCATCCATCACCTGAAAGCAGAACAGCCAATCATCAGTCTAGCACCGACCATAAAGCTTTTATAATTGCACGTTAGCAGGAAAGGAAAGCAGAGTGGCTGCTGTAATACTTACACAGAAAAACAAAAATTCAGCTCAGTTCTCTGTACAATTATCATCAAAATATTGGCCATTAAATAACCACACCACTGTGCAACAACAGCACTTCAACATCTTTTAAGTTACATAACTTGTTTGTGTTTTTTTAAATATCACTAAAGGCCCAACAGATCTGCTGCCTCCATCTGCCACATTCCTACATTTTCTGCTAGATCACCCAATTTAATACCGAAAGACTGCTTTTAAACACTCCACTGTACAAGAAGGACAAAAAAAAAGCTAAAACGTTTTGTGTAGTTGCATGTGTACAGTATCACCCTAACAAGTCCCACTGAGTTGCAGAGGAATTAATAGGAATACATCAATGCCGTCACTTTTTTTCACTTTTTTTGGCTTCAGGAAGGAGGACGTGTGGTAGAAAGGTAGATACTCAGCATGGCGTCTGAGTTGGGTTGGCCTTTGACCTGTAAGCCTCACATCTGCCCAAAGAGGATAGAGCAGAGCAGGAAGATGGCATAGAGAAACATGAGACCCAGACCCAGCCGACGGTCCAGTCTCCAGTGGTTCAGATGAACACTCAGCACCTGCAAGCAGATGCGGAGCATGCAGACATGCTGATCAGGGACAGAATTGCCAAGGGTCCATTTATTTTAAATAAAATTGTCTTTAATGTATCTACCTTTTTAGTTTAGTTTTCGTTTAGTAAAAAATACATAACTGGACAGCTTTCTATTTATATACGTTTCAACCCCAAGGGGGCAGTGCAACATGTTGCAAGCTTTGCTCTCCACCACATCCCGAGGGAAACATCTGGTTCATTAGCTGCAAGCTGCTCCACATGTTTGCCAACTTTGTTAGTGTGGCAACTGGTGCCGAGCACCCAATGCACAGCTGATTTAATAGTTATTTTGTAGCCTAACAAACACACACTGGTGAGTGTATATTAAGTTTGCAGCAATGTTGCAAACCAAAACACTCAAAGAGCCCCAAACCTGGCTGAATGATCTAATAGCATTATTGATTCGTATGACTTTAAATCTGTTTGATATAGAAATGTACTGGGTGGGATTTTTTTAAAAACCCAAATTTAGCAGAGCTCTCTGCTGTACACTTTATACTGGTTACACCTCTCTGAAAATCACCTATATATCTGTGCAACCTTTGGTATTTAGCATTTACTTACTGTCAGAAACACAGACGCCAGCAGCAGGATGACAGAATATACAAGTCCTTTATTATTTATGGATATCTGTGGGAAAGAAAAACATCAGTGTTATGACCATCAAGCAGAAGTGAGAAGCTGCAAAGCTTCGCTCTGATAACTCGCACAGAAAAATTAGTAACCCGGGAAAGAAAGAAGTTTGAAGAGGTGTTACATAAAGATGAATGTAAGCATTACTATTGATCCGTGGTCCACCACAAGTGTACGCAAAGCCCAGGGGAAACCCAAACCCAGCAGGATGTCAAAGATATTGCTGCCTACAGAGTTGGACACTGCCATGTCCCCCATGCCTGAGTAAAGACAGGAAAAGTGACAGAGAAATGCTTAAGTACTTGCCTCACAAAGAGACATAAAAATGAAAGAGAGAGACATCACGCAGGACACATTTACCTTGTCGAGCTACAATCAGACTCGCCATGCAGTCAGGCACGCTAGTCCCTGCTGCCAGGAAGGTTATGCCCATGATGTAGTCTGGGATGTCTAGTGTGAAGCTGATGATGGTGACCTGATAGAAACATATAGAAAATATTAGGATAAAGTTATCTTACTGGTCTATAAAACCTTCAAACTAGCTTAGTTTTTGTTTTTGTTTTAATTTACAAACCAACATGCAGATGTATATCACATCAGTTTCAGCAGGTGTCTGAGAATACAAGAGATACTGTAGACAGAAGACCTGCTCTTACCATCCACACCATGAGGTAGGAGAAGACAGCGATCCATAAAGTGGAGGCCACAAAGGTGACCATGAACCAGCGGTGCCAGCGTGGCAGAATGCAGTTAGGCACAGTGCAGTAGAGCAATAGGCCCAGAGGCCATGTGATCACCCACTTTACCCGCGCACACCAGCCATCTGTGATGAGACAGCATTTGGACTGTATCAGCAATCAAGGGGTTAACATGATAGAGGAGTAAGATCAATTTAAGGCAACAATAAACTGACAAATTCTAGCTATATTTATTGAAGGCTGTTCAGAGGCCAGCGAAAGCACAAGTAATCCCTGTGACTACTCTTGGGGCTTCATGATATCCTTAATGTGATTATCTAAGGTGCACAGCTCTCTGTCCACCCCGCCTGGCGTTTAAACCTCCTGTTTTTAAGGGGCAGCCAATCAGAAGAAAGTTGATTTAGAGGCAGGGTGGCCTTAAACAGGCAGGAGGTAAATGGGTAAACTCGGGGGCTGCACAGAGATGAATAAGGATTACTTTTAACCTTGAATCGTGCAGCGCTTCTCTAGTAGAGCAAAAGACTATGGAGTAAGAAATGAGCATTATAGCACAATCATCAATCAGCTAATCAATCAAATCATTATATCGAACTTAGAAGCAACAAGTGTTATTACACATTAAAAAATGAACAGAAAACCAGCGAGAGCTTCATGTGGAAAACTCTTTTTTATTGCTGAGGTATATAGTTAAGGGCCTCCCTTAGTTATGCTGCAGTAGGCCTAGGCTGCTAGAGGCTTCCCATGGTGCACTGTGCATTTCTTTTTCACTCACTATGTGTTTATACACCACTCTGCATTTAATTATTAGTTATCATTAACCTCTGGCTCTCCTCCACAGCGTGTCCTTGTCCTGTCTTCTTTCCCTCACCCTCAACAGTCAGCTCAGATGGCCACCCCGACCTGAGCCTGGCTCTACTGGAGGTCTCTACCTGTTAAAAGGGAGTTTATCCTTCCCACTGTTGCCAAAGTGCTTGCTCATAGTGGATCGTCTGACTCTATATTATTGTTACTATGTTACTAATAATACTGAGTTATCATTGTAGCGTCTTTAGCTTACAATATAAAGTGAGGCAACTGTTGTCGTGATTTGGTGTTAACGGAATTGAACATTTGCTTTTTGAAAAGGAAGCAAATGTTTATGAAGTCCTAGCCCTATTCTAGCTCATCTTATGTATCTGTTTTGATTATACAGTCTAAAATATACATTCCTCACCTGGAATGCGCACTGGACTGAAAATCCCATCTTCATCGTCATCTTCATCTTCTTGCTGGCACACCTCGGCCCCTGGCTTGTCTCCTGACTCTGTGTCGACCATGCCGGGTCTCCCGCCTCCGTTCTCCAGACTGCAGGAGGCTGTCCTCTTCAGACTGTTGCTGGTGGACCCCCCTCTTGACCCGGGTCCGGCCTCAACGTCCCGTTGATTTTTTGAAATACGAAGCAGTCTCTGTCTCTGCGGTTGAAAAAGATCATTTAGAATTTTTTTTTCTTGTGCGCGAGTGCGTCACAGTATGTGAGCATTAAATACCTCACTGATGAGCATGCGTCCGGCCATGGAGAGCCTGGTGCGGGGTGAGAAGTGGGGGGTGATCATAATCCGCAGGCCGGCCTCTGAGAATGACAGTTTGTGAGGGTTGAGGATGAGAAGCTCATCTACCATGACGACTGGAGAAGCCTCCTGACCATGGGCTTGGCCTGTGTATGAGATGTTGCCAATGAAAAGCACAACATATAAAACTACTTCATTCACACTCGACAAATCATTTAAAAAAACAAAACAAAAACAAACCTTTGTTGAGAAGCACCATAGATGTGTTACACGCCGAGGTGTCTTCTCCCAACTTGTTGTCTCGCCGTTCTTCTGATCGGAGGCAGCACGGCCTGATGCTCCTCAACCGACGTGTCACAAACACAAAAATCTGGGAGTTGAACCTGTGACAGAGCAAACCACCATCTTACACCATCCAAGTATTCTTACAACTCACACATATGGAGCTTTACTGACTGATGAGGAGGTTTTGTCTTCAGGAAACTTACTTCATGATGATAATGTAGATTCCATACATCGTCATTAGCAGTAAGGACTCCCACCTGCACAGTGAGCAGAACGTTTATGTGAGTCTGACCTTCACAGAATCAGTGTGCATTGGGAACAACTTGGGGTTCAGTATCCTGCCCAAAGACTGGAGCAGTCAGGGATTGAACCATCAGCCTTCCAATTAGCAGAGGACCTAAGGCTAAGATTGAGCTCGTAATGCTGCACACTGCATTTTTCTGGGGGGTTATTCCATCTGTATTTCAAATGTGAACAATAACGTGACTATTTTTTTTATTCATATTGGGAAAATGATGGAGAAAACACCTTTACAAATACTTCATATAATACTTATGGAAACTTTGAAAAAGAGAGATTTCGTACCCGAGGAGGACTATCACACTATTTTCAGATGAACATGTTGTGTGTGTTTTATTCCACCTTTAATATCCCTGAAATCCTTCACTTGCTTTAACTCTTTAAAAAAAATCTCAAGCTGTAATAAAACTCTGTGGTTTCTACAGACCTCAAAACCTGCTGCCAGAGATGCCACATACAGATTTCAAACTTTCTATGTTAACTACACTCCAGGGAGTCCATATTATCAGAGCCACAGTCTTAGTATTAAGTGATATTAAAAACCGAGGACCAAATTCAAGCAGTCGAGCCATTTTTTATGATGGAATTTAAATATCCCTGCTGAATAAAATGCTATGAAAGCATCTATAATCACTCCTACTTTCATCCCCATCCCCAAGTTCTTCTTCTTCTTCTTTTTTTTTTTTTTTTTAGAAAACTAATGACAGTATTGACCTCAAACTCTCCAGAATTCCTAATAAGAATTCCCTGAATTTTTGTTTTCCTCAGCGTGAAAAGTCTCTTGATAAATTGAGAATGACCCTGGATCGCTTTGTTTAGTTAGGATAATTTAATTAAACAGAAACAGCTTAAGTCTATCCAGCTCTCTTGACCACACTTCCTCCTCTTCACTGATTGGTTTGTGTTCTTCTTTGGTCACCTTTTATTCACAGCTTCACTCTGTCACAGTGTAGCAGTTCAGTCTTGAAATGTATTTATTTATTTAATCTTTTTTTAAAGATAAAAATATGGGACACATTTATCTTTTATGTTTCCCCTTTTGTTTGAATATTTATAACTATAATTTATGTATTTATTTAGAATGGATGGATGGAATTTTGCAAATTTAAGCTTTTAACTGTAAATTCAGGCTTTTATTCATTTCCAACACTTTGATCAGATGCCCATAATGAAAGTCACCTTTGTATTCTGAACCTCTGAATTACCAGAAACCACCAAAAACATGGCTTTAAAAGTCCATTATCATCCAGATTTTACCTACAGACTGTCATTTGAACTCAGTAACATAGGAGCGCCCTAAACCAACTTCTTATAGTCTCTTATAGTTTGTAGTTGAGTAGTCAGTTTTGCTCAGAGAGATTCCAAACTCAGTGAGGTATCCCAGAAGCATCTGGACAGTGGCCATGACAGTAGCAGATCTTCTAAATACTAAGAAGGGGTACTTCAGTGCTTCCTGTAATGCCTCCTTTAGCAGAGGAGACACTTGGGCATCATTTATTAAATTGCAATCCAAAGTGATGGAGTGTGCAAACAAACATCCAACCTATTTTCCATTTCCATTGCCATACTCTGCTGATATGTCTCAAGCATGCTCACTCATCCAGGGAAAGATACCCTGATAAAGTTAATTCTGTTCACCTGACTGCAGCTTCTGCTTCTTCGTTGAGCGATGAAAAGTTTCTCCCACTGAAAACATTAAATCTGGATAAAGTGAATCAACTTTCTCGAAACTAATAAAAATGTTTTCAATCTGAACCTTCAACAGGTTCTTAAACCCACACATGAGCTATGAACATTACAACATGAAGGTGGAGAAGATCGTAACTTGGATAAAAAAAAAATGCATACAAAATAAAGTACAAGAACATATGAGTAGAGAAGACCAGCAACTAATCTCAATTAGTCATCCTAACACTGCATTTCTCTTTTGCTAAGTCCTTATGAATTCCCCTTCATATCTTTCCTTGACCTCATGGCTTTTCCCATAAAGGTCAAAGAGAAGTGAAGTGTTTTGTGAATGATTTTCTTATATAGGGATATAAATGTAGTTGAAATATATATAAAAACATCAACACAAAACAAGGCAGTTCAGAAACACTGTCACAGATTGAGTCATACAAAGCAATTTTTAAAATAAGCATCTAAACGTCTAGTACACACTGTCCAGTTCACTTCAGGTTATGCATGTTTTCTCTTTGTCTTTGAATATGAATTGACTGAAACTGTCCCATTGCTCCTTGGCCATCTCTATTTTTTACAGCTAAGCCTTCACAACATAACTTCTCCACATCGCTGCCACATTTTCACTGTCACAGTTTGAGATTCTTTCCAAAACCTGAGAATTAGTCAGGCACGAATCCCTAACCCGACCCTCAATAGGCCCACTGCATACTTATTCAGCTGTGGCATGACACCACTGTCTCCAAGGAGACACAGTGTTGGTGATCTAGGCAAATCACACTTCAACAATCGTAAAGATGTCTTCAAAACAGAAAAACCTTTGCACACTCGCGTGCATGCACATAAGTGCCTCTTTTTGTCTTACATTCCCAGCATATAGCATCCTTAATTAAACCCATTTTGTTTAATTGAGAAGGATAACAGTAAATTATTTTATATTGGATAAAGTTACTTCTACTTTCCCTGATTTGTGAATAAATAAAGCTATGACTGACAACAGTGAAATGGACACAGAAAGCACAATAAGTTCAGTGTGCTGCAGTCTGCTCTGTCCTTTCTGAACTACTTTGAGCACTAGGATGCCAGTGAACAAGTTCAAATACAATCCGTACCAACAAACAGGACTGACAGTAAAAGACGCAGCTGCAAACAGCGGTGAGGTGAAATACACCAAGATGGCCTCGGTTTGGGACTCAATAAACAGCCTGCTATATATCACGAAGGAATTCAGCACCACAGTGGACATTAGATCCTTGAATAAATCTACCCTTTCAATAAAATCCCAACACGGTGAACAATGGAAAGCTCTTTTACTCTAAAGGTCTCGGGAAGAGAAGTAGGCATCCAGAGCGGGAAAAAAACCAGCTGTAAAGGAAGAGTTACACAAAAGAAATCAATCTAACAACCAGTATCAAATCAATCTTACAAATAAGCTGCAAATGACTGAAATGAGTGCCACTGATGGCATAAACCTCCAAAGGAAATCAATCAAAATTAATTTACTAACATTTTCCTTTCCTGCCTCTGATTAGAAATATTTGTTCAGATGTTACTATTTTTCAAGAATAAATCAGAAACATATTGATTTACCACAGTCCGTTATCACAGCTATAACGCTGCCATTACTAATAATAAAAAGTAATACAAATCACTTGAGGAATGAGGTTGTGACATCATTTAGAGCATGAAAGAATGCGCTTTAAATTCACTTTTTGTGACATTTACAATTCTCGTCATCAGTAAACCGCAAACGAGGAATAAAATCATGTCAACAGGAACGTCAGCTCCTGTTGCAATCCAACCCATTTAATCTGATTCCTGACAGACTTTTTAAACACGCCGAGTCTCAAACTGAGCTCATTTATACAAGCAGTGAAAACAGTGTAAAGTACTGGCTCACACAAAAAAAACAGGGAGTTAAAAATTTCTTAAAACAACCTTTAAAAATGAAAAAGCTGTGTGGACTCACCAGACAACTGTGGCATCATAGATGACCTAAGGAGAAAGAAAAGACAGTTTAAAAGCAAAAAGGATGACACGGAGCTCAGAGGAACTACTCTTTATTGTTTAAATGTGTATCTCACCATGATGAGAGTCAGTACTGACAGGATGTAGTAGGAGGAATCTCTAAAGAGAGACCACCATGTCAGAACCACTGTCTGTGGAGAACAGATACTCGTGTTACAATATTTTATTATTCATTATTCAGAGCTGCGCATGAACAGGTTTCTTCTATTGCAATGTCTTCTATTACATTTTATTAATTTCAAAGCCAGATTAAATGAAGGTTCTTTACACCAGTTTGATAAGTTGCTTTGTCCTGAGATGACCGCGCTCAGACTAAACCCCTCTGTTTGGCAGTGGAGTGGAAAAAACTGTGGAAGACTGAGCCTTTAAAGCAGTCTGAGCTCATTTGAAACTTTAATAATGTTTAACAAACACATCACCACTGTAGCAATATCTAAAAGCACAACAGTTTCCCTTTAAACAAGCATTGAAAAAGAAAAGTTACACCACATGTGACAAACATCTGGCTGTAAGATGTGAGTAAGAGTCACAAGTTTAATCTACCTGGCCTGCAAAGATTCCACTCAAACCAATTATGACCAGGATGTTGAAGACAGCTGAGCCCACGATTGTGCCGACGCCAACGTCACCTTTAGTGATGAAGACACCTGAAAAAGTGCAGAGGATTTGTCTGACGTCAGATAAAATCTGTCTGTCATTCCGTGTTTTTAGGGGCTGTGTATCCTTGTAAACCCCAGATGAGAATCCACAAGCTAAAATATGAACTACTAAGAAAAATCTTTGTGTTGCTTTAAACTGGACTCTGCTGACATCTCCTGGATATGTCCGGTACCTACTTAGATCAGGACCTTTGAAACAACGAGAGCATTGAAGAGAGCCAATCCTCTCCCAAAAGCTTTGCTTTATTTTGAAAGTTAAGCCATTCTTTACCCATGCTCCACTTCACCAGGTTTTGGCACGGTCTGCTGACAAACATCACTTTTTCTCATTTAATCTGATGACAAGCAGTGAAAACAAATGTTGTCATGCTCTCTCTGAATGGAAAGAGCTGCTACTTGGTTAAGACTAGCTGGGTTACTAACCAATGAGAGAGGTGAAAAGCTCTGGAGCTGAGCTTCCAGCAGCCATAAATGTGGCCCCGGCTACATCTTCACTGAGCTGAAGGTTCTGGAAAATTAAATTAAAAAACAGTTTGAATAGTCCGATAATAATATTTTAAAACAATAAATTTATATCTGAAGGCCAGCTGGGGCTGGTTTTCCTCACCTCAGATATTTTCTCCAGGGAAGGAACAAAGTAGTCATCACAGACAATTGCCAGAGCGTAGAACATGTAGATGGCCTGGAAGAGAGGGACCCATACACACTTTGCCTTTACATAACATAAACCAGCTATATATGTCGTCCTGTTGTGTGCGTTTATTCTGTATTGATGTCAAGTGTCAGCATCATGACTCAGGGTTATAAATGGAGAGGAAAATGTGCAGATTTGAGGCAACATTGCAAGGAATACTCACACAGAGTGCATGGAGACACACGGCCCCATTCTTCCTCTGCTCCTTGGTGAAGATGTCCTCTGGAAACTCATGGATGGCTGCAAGGTACACACGTTTTATTAAATAAATGCCAACTAAAAACTGAAACCTGCAAACAAAACAAAAAACAGAAAGAAAAAAACCCAGAAGACTATTTTTATTAATCATCATTTGTAAACACGTTTTAAATGAATATATAATTTTATCATCATCATCACCAATTTCAGGTAAGATCTCTGACAGACAAGCTACAAACTGCAGCATCACAGAGACCCAGTGTTCGTTTTGCAGTGACAAATGAGACGGGAAGTGAGGTGGAAGTGAAACTGGCAGCTGCTTCCTGTCCTCCCTTGAGTTTAAAGAAAAAAAAAGGGGGAAAAAAGAACTGTTAATGACAGCTTAGCTCCCCTCTGTTCCCTCGACACTGCGAAAGAAAGCCTTGAGTGTGTGGTACAGCTCCAATTTACAACTCTGAGCCGAGCTGGATGAATGTAAACTACTGGGGAGCATGAAGCTATTAATAGCCCTTCTGCTCTGTGAGACAACAGCGGGTCGACAAGCACACAATAAGCACAGCGTAGCCGCCACGATACACGCTGCACCTCGGCTGCATGGAAACCGAACAACAGATTGCATGGATTAAAAGAGGGTCCCCTGTGATCAGGGATATGAGATTTGATCTTTGACTCTGCGGCGGCAGAGTCAGAGGCTGGATTTGAAGCAGTTCCTCATGCACCTTCTCAAGCGGCCTGTCAGCTGTCGGACATGTGTGCTAACACACAAACTCTCAGATTAGGATGGAAACGAAGGGGCTTCAACATGTAGCTCAGATGGACCCTTTGAGGGGTTGCTCTGGTGAAGGTAGTTACTATGGCGACCTGCTCCCCGGGGGCAGCTTTTTTCTGATGGGTGGCAGTAGGAAGCCATAGGCAAGGCAACTGAGAGAGCAGTGAGAAAAGGGGAGGTGAATATGTGTTTCCCATGGTTAGGGTTTATGAAAAAAGGAAAGAAAAAAAAAGTGACAGCAGCTCTGGACTGTAATGTCTAAAAATATTTATTTTTCCTAACAAACCCTCAGGAGAGGTCTGAGAGAGCGGGGGGAGGAGGGGGCACGGCACACAGATACAAAGAGACACAAACAGTCTACTGGCTTCCTCAAGGTTGCTGAATGTGCTTTTGCCAAGAATCTTACGCTGTGGTCTCACAGTGCAAGGCCACAAACGGAAACACCAGAGGGTCGAAGATGATCGCACATCTGCAACTTTCCCAATCAGGGGATTTGAGCCAGCTGCGCCGTCAGAGCAGTAAAGTCACAAGTTTACTAATCACTCGGGAACATGTGGACAGCAGTGCTGGTGTGCGGTTACTCTGAGAATATATATAGTCTATATATCATTTCTCTGGGCTCAGTGTTTTTTATTGCCAGCATCACAAGAAGCTCCCACAGCTCATTCACCTCTGATCCAGTTCTGTCGGTCACAGTGTTCACAGCAGCTCACTTATCTTTGTTGCACTCCTCCACAAGCAGCACTGCTAAAGAACAGACTCTCTTCAGATCTGTTCAGTTCGCTGTATGGTTGCTGGTAAAGTGACAGACTGTCAGAAACACGAGTATGCATTGTACTGCTGACAGGAAGGACTTCTTCACAGCCTGAACTAGCACAACCAAACAGCTTTTGTAATACTTTACAGCTAAGTAGGGTATAAAATTAACTTATTCCTTTTTGCTAAACAGAAATGTAGTGGGTTGGTAGTTTGTTACATTTTGTTGGCATATTAGATTCAAAGGGTTTATTAAACACCGTAAATAAGTTAAACCTGAAAATGCTGTCAATAGCCATGTCTTTAGGGATAAAATTGCTCTATAAATCAAACTGACTGATATATAGACAAACTCTTTTAGCTAAACCTTTCAGAAGACAAACATGAATGAAACTGTAAAGTCTGGTACATAAACATAGTGTAAAAAGTAAGGAGATTTGTGTTTGGCTGATTATTTCTTTGTTGTAAAAATGCATCTTGGTAATAAATCTTTTACGGTTGGGAAGTTTATTTCCTGTTAAACAGAGCCACATTTGTGGGTTAAGCAGCAGAGTTGAGCATGTGGGTTTTGCCCATAAAAAAACCCAAATCTTCAGCTTATTCTGCTATTGACACTTCTTTTGAGCTTCTGGTACCACAGGTGCTGACAATCAGGCTCCAATCAAGGCTGATTGTCAGCACCTGTGAGCATGGACCCTGTGGTTAGTTGGTGTCTACTCCAAGCATATCATGTCTGACTGTTTTTAAAAAGGGCCCGTGCCACAAGGGAACTTCAAGCTGGTGAAGATTCTTCAATAAACATGACACCAATTAAGAGTCAATATCAGAATAAGCAGTTTGGCATTGACAGAGAAGATTTGCCAAGTTTTTAATGGGCGTAACCCTCACGCTCAACTCTGCTGCTCAACCCTGCTGCTCAACCCTTAAACGCATTTTTCTTTTTCTAAAAGTGGCTCAATTTAAAGGAAAATGAACAGGTGTTCCAATGGTATAATATTTATTGCCAAGGAGCATTGCTACAACAAAGAAATAACCCTGCAACAAGTTTCCTTACTATTTGTGCTACACCAAGATGTTTCTGAAGTAAACAAATATATAAATTTTTACCGGAAAAAAGTCATTACCATATTACTAACATTAATAAATGACTGTTTGATTAAGGATGTTTCAATAAAGTGAGGTATCTCCTTGAGTATGCATCTATTTCTATAAAATCCAAGTGATAAATTGTAAACTAAAAAAATTACATGTGTATTTTGGACATTCTTTCTCCTCTAGTCCAAAGGACAACGCATCAGAGAAACAAATCATTCCAAAATATTAACAGGGGCCAATACATTATAGAAATAATAAATATATGTTGTACTGGATACAATTTAATGACAAAAATATGTTTAATCACCAAACGTGTTTCAAGATCTGTGCCAATTGGAAATATCAGATGACGAGTATCATTTAGATTATGTGCAAATTAGAAACTGCTCATATCAACAAAACATTTCTCTACTTTCAGATGCACAAATGCAAATGATATGCTATGGGTGGACAATTCAAATTTCAGTATAAATACAAATACATAAATTGTTCACATTAACAAACAAAAAAACACAACTGAGGATTTAGATGAGCTATGTATGCTGACTAACAATAACTTGATGATATGCTGGTCATTCAAGACCTGGAACCTTTTTTTGCAAAGGATTTTTCCCCCTGTTATATACACCACATATGAGCAGCAACTTCAGACTTTGGGTTTGGGCATTTATCTGGATCTTAGTTTAACTAAAAACCAAAACACCCAAATCGTGCTCCCTGATGGCAGCAGCCTTGTCTCATAGGACAATGTACCCTATCACACTACAAACTGCTGACAGAGCAGGGCGGCACCAGCAGAGTCAGATCATTTTTTAGGGTGTCTAACCTCCTGGCCACACATGGCCGGCCACTCTACAAAACACAGAACCTAAAAGAACTGGTAGATCTGGTCCACCATCCACCCCACCCCCAGAGGTTCCCGTAGCCAATCTGTCTGAACACTATAAAACTGATGGTTTTAATCTTGTGGCTGACAGGTGTACGCTCTGATTGTGTGCCATGAATCTACTCATCACTCTTTGTGTGCTCTAGACTATCCAGTGAGATTTATGCTGACCTTAAAGCAACAGTTGCTGTTGTATTTTTTGCTTTGTTGAAGTTTGTCAGTGTGAGACTGGCATAGAAGGAAAACGCAATCATTTATAGCTGAAAATAAGTCGCTAAAGAAAAAGGTCAGCACATAAATTTTAAAGATTAACTCTAAAGCACAATAAAAACCAGGAGGTATGGTTTAGCATGTTTGTAAAGAAACAAGTGCAAGTTGACCCTAATGTGTCTGCTTCCATTCTCAACGCACTGAAAATCTACAGCATAAAACTTTATTAGCTTTTAGTTGAGTCCTCCACAAGACTTATAGCCATTATAAAATAATGTTTCCATTTCAAACTGAATGGACGAATCAACCAGTTGCTACTTTACAGCATAATGACATCAGATGACAACCTTAGTCTATTTTTAAATCTGCAGTGTGAGAGGACAGATTGTTTCTTGAATGTGTATTTTATCTCGCTCCAGATCAAAAACAGGCCATGCTGCAGATTAGATCTTGAAGCATAAGGTCAGTGCCAAGCAAATTCTGCAGGTTTTAGAAATCAAACCTCCATGGAGCTTCAGCAGATTCGATGGATGGACAGTGGGCGGTATAGGATAATGTTATCGATCTGTAAGTCTGCAGGGCGTCCTGGAGTCAAGCTACGGTATTGACAAGCATATTGAGTAAAGTCATATCATGCACCAACCAGACTGGCGCTGGCGTATAGTCTCTTGCCCTCTCTTTCACTCTCTCTCTCTCTCTCTCACACACACACACACACAAACAAAGAGAGCGCGAGAAAGAGAACTCTGCAAAACAGCTGCATTTTTCATGAGAAATCAGAAAAATAAATATTTTATCCAGGTGTGTAGTGTAAATTCAATTATGCATTTGTTCTTTGATTCCCTTTCCTTTGAGGCCGATTGAATGCAAAACTGATGAAACAGCAGCAGGCTTCAAGCTCCAACAACCACCTTTCGCATCAATAAACACTGAACATCATTTTACGCTGTTCTGATAACAGAGAACAAAAGAAAACTGTGGGGTGTACGTTCGCTCAATAAAACTACAACACGATGCATCATTAGCAAGACAATAAACTCAAAGGAGAAACACAAAACTCATTAATCAGTCATTTTAAAAGAACACCGGTCAGCCCCCACAGTAAAATGTGGTCTTAGTACATTTTATCCATTGCATAGAGATGGTGGCTTTTGCTTCTCTACAGTAAAAGTAAATGGTATTCACATTGTTGTGCTCAAACCATCAAAAAGTGTTTGAGAAACTGCAGCAGTGACTTTCCAGAAATCATGACCTAGTTACTAAACTCGAAAGAAGACCTAAAATGTAAAACCATTACGTGAGCAGTTTCATATATGAGCCATTTTC